GCTTGGAGCAACCTGGGCTGGTGGAAGGTGTCCCTGCCCATGGCAGGGGGTGGGACTGGATGAGTTTAAGGTCCCTTCCCACCCAGACCAGTCTGGGATTTGATGATTCCATGAACCATTTCGGGGAAGGAGGAGGGTGTTTGGGCTGTAAAGTAGTTGCCTTCATGAACTTATGTCATGATTTGTAGTGATGTTGTCACTGAGATTGTTTGCAGCCCACACTCAGTCACACTCTCAAAAGGGGGTTTGTTCTGAGCTGGGGGCAGAAGATGTGGCTCTGTCCCTGCCTCGTTCTCCAGCCAAGCTGGCAGGAAGAGGATGTTTGAGAGGTTACTAAGTGATGTGATGCAAATTCCCTTTGTTTTGATCCTCTCCTCAGGGGCCTGCTGACCCGCACCAGCGTCCCAAAGGATGTTGTGGATTACATTGTTTATGGCACAGTTATCCAGGAGGTGAAAACCAGTAATGTTGCCAGAGAGGTGGGTGATGTGCAGCATTTCCCTGCGAGTCTGATTCTGCAGCTAGTCCGAAGATGACAAATACTTGCTAAAAATTAAATTCTTTGCATTACGGTTCATTTAAAGGTGATTTCAGTCTGAAGTAGTTGTGCAGTATTGTCTGTTAAACAACTGCATGGGATTATAAGGAAAATTATTCTGGGATTCTCTGACTCTGCCTCCTGTTGAAATCTGCCATAGTTTTCCTTTATTGTAGTTTTTTATCGTATTTTCCTAGTTCGTTTTAATGCTGTGAGGCCTCTGCTCGATTCTCCCCAGCAAGGGAAGCTTTTGTTAAGAACTGCTGATCACTCAGCTCTTGAGCACCGGCGTGACTCGAATGCTGCCTTGCCCAAAGTCCTCAGAGTGTGCTGTGAGAGTTTGCTTTGTTGTGGTGTTTGTTCTTTCAGTTGGCAGATCAGACACGGGGTTGGGGTGACTGGAACTGGAGCGGCTTCGCTGCCCTTTGTTCCGGCAGCCGGGAAACGGCTCCCGTGTTACCCACAGAGCAGCTGATCCCCGAGGGCCTGTGCCAGAGGCAGCACAGTGGTCTGTGCTCACCTGGAGCCTCTGCTGCTGTTCTGTGCTCCTGGATGAGCCCAGGATGGAGCCTGGGCTGGAAAGGCTCGGGAGGTGCCGAGGCAGCTTCGGCCTCGTGAATGCAAATCCCGGCTTTGGTCGCCCGCCAGTCAGATGGGGCTGGAGGGTAATTTTAGCTGAACAACCGCTGAACTTTCAACCAGTTGGCCGTGCCCCAAGTAGGGAAGGTGTCTGGGAGCAGCTGTGGGCTGGTCAGATGAGTCACTGCTCTGCACTGTGGTTTTCTGCTCCCTGTGAAGCCACAGCACCTCGTGCTGAGCCGTCTAAATCAGCCCTTCCACGTGTTGCCTTTGCCAGTGAGGTGAAGCAGAGGTGATGTCCAGTAGTTGGAGGCTCTTTTAATGTGTTGGTTTTTTTTTTAAATGTGAGGTGTGTGGTTAGCTTGTCCCTTTATTAAAAAAATGTGGAGGGGCAGTGACTGTTCTCACAGTGCAGCTGAGCCCTGGCACTGCCTCTGCTCCTGTTCCAGCCTGGGGACGGGATGAGCTGCTGCAGTAATGAATGAAAACTCGATGGGGCTGTTTTCAGCTTCCCCTGGCAAGGTGTGCTGCTGGGCAGGAGGCAGCTCTGGCCCGTGGAGCAGAAGCTGTGGGTTTAACAGACACTCTTTGCTGTCTCAGGCTGCCTTGGGAGCGGGTTTCTCCGACAAAACCCCGGCCCACACCGTCACCATGGCCTGCATTTCCTCCAACCAGGCGATGACCACGGGTACGTGGGCTGGGGGAACAAGCTGTGGGGTTGAGAAAGAGGCTGTAGAGGAATTTCTTTCCCAAGCTCTGACTTGCACTGCTTTTGAATATAAAAACTGCTGGAATGGAGGGAAAGACGGGGCTGTTTAGCCTGGAGCAAAGGAGGCTCAGGGGGGACCTTCTGGCTCTGCAACCCCCTGACAGGAGGGGGGAGCTGGGGGGGGTCG